CCAGAAGCGGGATTGTTGTGACCGGATAAAGCGGTACCTAGACGAAGAGAAGGACGGCAACGTACATCTCTTCATCATGTCTGGTTCCAAGGACGTTAGAGATGGCGTGCCGAAGGGACTAAATGGATCAAACATCGCTAAAGCGATAGCCACGGCGTGCGTAGCATTGAGACGGTACTCCGATAGAGTGCTCAGTATCTCGATGTGTTCCATGGTTGAACACCGCGAATGCCAAAACATCGCCGAGGTCAATAGCTTTCTCAAGGATAGCGTTGAGGTTATTCGAGGGGAAATTGACTTCATTGACCTTCGGAACATTTCGAAAGATCGTAGGTTCCTTGACGTGGAGAGTGGGAAAGATGATCCATACAAGGCCACGTATACCCGCGAAGGCTATACTGTAATCAAAAACATTCTCCTCGAGCGCATCACGGCCAGGTTGAATCCTGATGATGACACTCGCAAGTTGATACAAATCAACAAGGAGAAACTGATGGAAGAAGTGAAGAAGAAGGAGGCTGCCAAAATCGAAAGAGAAAAGGCGCGTAAGGTCAAGGAGGAAGAACACCTCCGAAAACTGAAAGCCGCGGCCGTCAAAGAGGCCGGAAAACAAGCACTTGCGAACCGGGCGGGGACCAAGCGCAAAGGCAGCCAGAGAGACGGTAGGACAGGGAAGGGCGATGGCGGAAAAGGGAAGATTCCCAAAACCCGACATGAAGAGACCAGAGGGGCTGAGGGAAGCCGGAAGCCGAGCAAACCCAATCCGCAAGGATACTCTGGTAAGCCGCCCAAGAACAAACCCCGTTCCTAACGGCGTCGAAACCGCACTCCACTTTGGGCCGGACCAAGCATGGCGAAGCATAGAGCGGGGTGGCGGGACAACAAGGGCCGGACTTCGAGCACGAAAACCTGCCCACAAAATACTACGGAGGAGCTCGAGGAGAAGCAGGAAGGGACGAACACCTGGGACTGATTTTCCAATAAATATCGGAGTTTTGAACATCAACGGCTGTTCTTACTCGAAATGGGCTCGGATTGAACTAGATATCCTTAGGAGAGAGGGGATGAATTGTTTCATAGCCGTAGAGACCCACCTGACGAACCTACAGAAGCCGCCGAAGATTCGAGGTTTCGAGTGGATTGGAAGCAATAGGAGGGCCAAAGCCGGAAAACCCCCTACGGGAGGCGTTGGCATTTTACTCAGTTCGCACTTCGACGTAGAATGGTCGGAGTCAGGAGAAGACTGGGTTGCCACGGCTGTCAGATGCAATAAGAAACGTTTAATCTTAGTAGGGGTGTACGTAGCACACCTACTAAGAGGGGCGAATGCTAAAATGTATGCTGAAATCTCCAACCTGATCAGGTCCAAGTGCGAGAGCACGGACTGTATTCTGATAGGAGGAGACATGAATGGGCACATCCCCCGTTTTGATGGGAAATCAGATATGCGGGGAAGGTTGCTACAGAACTTCGCAGAGGAGAACGATCTCTTAATTCTCAACGGCAGCGAGCGATGCGAAGGGAGATATACAAGGAAGTCTGCCGTCATTGATTATGTGTTGGGCAGCCCCGGAGCAGTGGAGACCGTTCAACACATGTACATTGACGACAAAAGACTGTTGTCAAGCATCTCAGATCACAACCTCATAACAGTTAAATGTAACATCGGTGGTTTTAAGCAAAAACACCGTGAGACATTTTGTCTGTAATAGACTCATGGAAAGCTGCTACCCTAGCCCAGAGGGGGCTTTGGGGGTCAATGCTGAGAGGCAACGTGAGTTACGATGAACTGAGAAGCGAGATCACCGCAGCGGCCGAACGAGCCCGCCGGACGCTGAAAATACGGGATCGCCCGATGGTGTACTCGACAGAAATCAAAGAGGAGACCAGACGTCGAAAGGAAGCCAACCGAACCTACCGAGCGGCGAGAAAAGCTGGCCTGGGGGAGGAGGCAGCCCTCGAAGCTTACAGAGTTCAACAACAAAGGGTGAGGAGAGCGGTGGAAGACGAATTGCGGAAGAGGGAACGAAAAACCCTGGCTTTCGTCCTCAACGCACCGAGACATGAGAAGTGCAGGCGTTTCTGGCGGATTGTGAATCGAGGAACCAGAAGCGAGCAGAGAAGGGAAAAACTGAAGGATGAGAGGGGAAGAGAGATCCCCGCGAACCTCAGAGGACACCACCTCACGCATATCGGAGAAAAACTCCTCGAGGCTAAACACCCGATCGATGAAGTCCCCCGCATGGAGCGGAGGGAAACGATCGGAATAACGGTGACGGAGACGGACGTGTCGAAAGCACTGACGAGCCTATCGAAAGCATCTGCAATGGGACTCGATAAGATTCCCAGCAGCATAGTCAAGGATCTGGACGAAGTTGGGCGAAGTTATATAACTCAGCTCTTCAACAAAATCCTGGAGGGCTCAGAGGAGATCCCCCCGGACTGGAAGGAAGGGAGGCTGATCATGTTAGAGAAGCCGAACTCAATTAAAGGGGACCTTCTGACCTACCGTCCAATTACGATTTCCCCAGTGCTATACCGAATATTCATGAAGATCCTAGGGTCTAGGATCTCAGAATGGATGGAGAGAAGCAATATACTGGGAGAAATGCAGGCCGGTTTTAGGAAAGACAGGAGAGGCGAGGACAACCTATTCGTCCTCACGAGCGCTATCGAATTATCCAGACACCAGAAAGAGGGACTGGTGTGCTGCTTTCTAGACTGCTCGGCGGCCTATGACCGGGTATGTAGAGAGATCCTGTGGAGAACCTTAGAGAATCTTGGAATGAACCCCACATGGATAGGACTGCTCCGTCGTCTATACTCAGATACCAAAAGCAAGCTGGTACACGGAGAACACTCATCGACGTGGATAAAGACCTCAGAGGGTCTTCGCCAGGGCTGCCCTGCCAGTCCTATCCTGTTCCTACTCTACATTTCCTCTCTCGAAGAAAGGCTACAGAAGACTGGTCATGGGTTCAGAGTGGCTAAGAGAGGAGATTTCTGGAATGTTAGAGAAAAGAAATATCTCAACATAGCTGGACTTCTATTTGCCGATGACCTGATCCTGATCGGGAGAAACTTCTCGGAAATGGAAGAACTGTTAGGAATCACGTCACAGTTTGGGGACGAGATGAAACTGACCTTCAACCCAACCAAGAGTGCGATAGTAATATTCTCAAAGTGCAGTCATAGTACGGAGAGGACACTACAAATCCAAGGTAAGGATATACCAAAGGACACGCGCTACAAATATTTGGGAATCACTGTGTCAGGCTCTGGGAACTACCTAGATGTCCAAGAGGACATCTGGGAAGAGAAATCCCAGAAAGCCCTGAACCAACTGCACGCGAGGGCTCTCTGGGGATTCAATAGATTTGAGATATCCAAGACCCTGTGGAAGGCGGTCGCCGTTCCAACGCTCACATACGCAAATGCAGTCACAGTCATGACGAAAACTCTGGAAAACAGGTTATCGACAGATCAGAACGCAGCGGGGAAGTACGCTCTTGGTGTTCCCTGCAGTAAGGTGGCAAACGACTTCGTCACCGGAGAACTGGGCTGGTCTTCATATAAGGCTAGGGAGGCCCAGAGTAAGATCAGATATTTCACCAGAGTGAAATCCATGCCTGACTACAGATGGCCGAAGGCCATCATGAACATGATGGATTTAATCGGAGTCAAAACAAAGGCATACCGAAGGGAAATAGAATTGCGTCGGGAATTCGAATGTGACGATATCACATTAACATTCACACTAGAAGGCACACCCCTCCTAGGAGTACTCAACAGAGCGATTAAGGAGAGAATCCGAGAAGTTGAGACGGCCAACTGGAAAGACTCGATGAGTCGAAAGAGTAGCCTCGCCCTCTACAGGACCAATGCGCAGGAGAGAGGGGTGAAGAGAAACCCATACGACAACAGTAGAGGTTCCGCCCTACTCGCGCTCAGTCGGGCAGGAATGCTAAGGACAAGAGACGCCAGAGCACGCTCCGAGCCGGCACTAGAATCCACATGTATGAGATGTGGAATGGTTCCGGAAACACTAAGCCATATCATTTGCGAATGCAACGAAGCATTCTTCGAGGAGGAGGAAATACGCATGCGATTGGGACTCGTCGAAGAACCCTCCTCAGAGAAGATTGGCAACACCAAGAGAATCCTACAGCAGTGGGAGAAAGAAACATGTAATATCCGCTGATTACTCGCCACTGAAATGAAAGTGTCACATATGTGAGGATAAATAAATACCAATACCAATACCAATACACGTGTACACTCGTTATCTCGTCCATGGGTATCACCACCTCCTATGTAACAAAAACAGCAAAGACAACTTTCATGATCCGGATGACTCGTGTAGATGCGTACATTGCGGTGAAGGTTGCCCAAGATATCACTCCAGAAGTTATAATTGGCAGAGCAATTATATTTCGCAATACCTGGCACTTGTCCAGATGGGTGAGGGTTTTTTATGCCTATATATGTATATGCACCAATAAAGCTTGCTGAATACCGAAAAGATCACGCAGACCGAGGTGCTCTGCCCCTGATTGAACACCACTACAATTGTGTGAGTTTCTTTCGTATCGGTCATTCCGTAAAGTATCAGTGTCCTGTAAGTCACCATCCGTCCACTGTGCTAGCAGCAGGGACCTGAGCCTTCGGAATCAAACAGCGGCTCGAATCGCTTTCTCGGTTTTGCGAAACCTGACCGCCCCCCGAGGGCTCATCGTTTTCATGTTCCTGGAATATGAAATGGGACGCCTCTTGAGGAGTCTCGCGCAACTACTCGCCTCGGGGAGCGAGCGATTCCGGAACCAAGTCTTCGATGCGCTATTATCTTATCCGGAAGTGTCGTCCGCTGCTTTACGTGAGCTCTTCCGCCCCTGTGGTCTTCTAAAATTTAGACGGGAACGCGGGCCTAATCGAAGACTCACCATTAATCCAATCTCTTCCGCAGTGAGAAAACCACGGGCCGTCGACGGCATGCGGGTCGAGCGAATTCTATCGATGTCCAAACGGGGAGTACTCGACCCTAGAGTAGCCGAAGCTGTCCAGCTTACGCCGAGAAGATCAGGTTCGCAAGAATTGTGGAATTCCCAATCATTATAATAATGGGCTCTTCTGGCTCGCTTGTTAGTTAGACCTAGCAGAAGTTCGAGACCGTAAAACGACTACAGGAAGGTAAAAATCGTCCCGGGAAGAGAGAGAAGCAAGGCCCGGCCCGTCGCGGTCTTCGTCGTTGCCAGGACTCCTGTCTCGGATGGTACGCGGTGTTGGTATGTACATATTTTGCTTCTTTTATGCTCTATTTCCCTGTCCATGTTCGTGCTAGCAGACGGCCAGACTGACTTCGACGTCGATTCACTCACGTGTTGAACGGTCGATTCCAGCGGAACTCATCTCCCAGAGTAGAAAAACCCCTCATCGCGAAAGCCCTGAGCGAGGGCTCGGGCTCACGGAGCCAATATTTCGTGAGTGATTTTACGGGCTCCCGAAGTTGCACTGTGACTCATTGAGAATGCGAATGAATACATGAGTGGATGATGATAAGGAAAAATATACGAATGAGTATTTTCCCTTCCAGTAAAAAAACGCTTCGGAACGCTCAGCCATCCCATGGCGGGCAATCAGCTTCATCCCGAAGTTCGTCAACTGTTGCTCGACATCGGACAGCTGCACTCCCCGAATTGGACGACTAGCCTTCCGACGAGTCAACACGGCCTGGGCTATTGGCTCGCACTTGAGCCTTCCGAAGCAAGCATGATGCTTGAGCTACACGTCAAAGTCTCGGTTCTGCTCACTGTACTCATGCGCTCAGAACATCGCGTTGCCGGGCTGGCGCGACTCTAGTCCCTGGAAAGCTTAGAAGTTCGTGCATCCCTGTAGTAGACGCAGATTTCGCAAGACTGGCCGGGATGGTTGCTTGTCGTACTGTAAACGTGGACGGGAGAACCTACGTCCGAGTGCCGAGGGTCCTCATGGCCTCTCTGAACGGAAAAAGATACGCTTCCGCGATATGTCTCTTCTGTCCACGCCTCGAGTCGCAGCCCGAAGCCCCAGACCTGGAAAACCCCGAGAAACAAGGCAACCGCGTCCTACATCTGGCAGGAAGTCATTTCAATAATGGGCATCGCACACTGCCCCACCGAGTCGCCAAGAGATTGAGCCAACTGCTTCCCGAGCCACTGAGCGCGCGAGACGACGGCCTCTGGTCACTCGACATTCTTTGCGAGCAGCTTCAGATGTCTGTCCTCTCCCAAGCTGTGTTGCGCCTGATGTACCGAATCGACTCAAACTGTGCCGTGGTACCAATGCTCACCGACGCGAGTGACGAATTCCATGAAAAAATTGGATACTCTGTAGCTGGAGCCAATACTTTCTGGAAGCCAGCCCAAGGCTCAACGCGGGAGGGGGGAGCGAAAGCCTCTCACACGTCGTCGGAAAAAAGCCGCGAATCCTCGAGCGCTTCCGGCAGCGAAGTCGAGGAGGAGGAAGCTCCGTAGGGGGAAAGGATTTCGGATGGGCCGCAGCTCCGTGAGCAGGAGCAAAGGAAAGGAAATAGAGGGAAAGATGCAAAATTGGTCCATTGTGTTTTCTCTGAGAAGGTCCATTTCCAGCATGACCGTATATTCTGACCATATGTCTCTCAAGCTAGGTCATGCAGAGTTCGATGTTTTCCAGCTGTGTATACCGACTATGGTCTTCCGGAAGCGCCAGATCAGACTCATCCTCCTCAGGCCATACCTCCCATGCTAATTTGCTGGGATGTTACGGACACCCATTTGACTCAATTCATCTCCAAAGCTTCAGTAATGCTGAACCTCACACTCTTCAGGACATCAGGAGCAGTGGCGTAGCTAGATTTGGTACCATTGATATTAAGGGTTGTGAAACGGAGTTCATTAGGTCAACTAATTTGTATGCGTGTTGTTGCGGGTAACCGCTTACCACACTTCCTCCGCCTCCTTGCAGGCCGTCGCACAGTGGGCCAAATGGCCGAATTAGGCGGACAAAAGTCGAGCTCGAAATTTGACACCCCACATAGCGTCGGAATCTCGTCGGAACATGGGAAGACGCGGGCAACAATCCTTTCCGACTGCGCTTCGATCGAAATGAAGTGGAGAGACAGCCAAAGTCGATGATTCATACGATTCCAGAGGAGCTTGTTCCCGCGATTTTTCTCATTTGTGTTTTGTTGCTTCGAAAGAGTATCGACAAACATATCGGAATGGAAAAAGGAACACGCCGTGAGTTGAAGTTCTTCTTAAGTCCGCATTCAAGACGATTTGAGAGCGGACGATCGGTGTTTACGGTCTTAAATAGAGTGTTTCTTCGAAACCTAATTTCCATAGAATCAGGAGGAAGTAGATTATTCAATACGAGACATGCCCCCCGTGTCCCCTCGCATAAGAAATGCCGTCGAGGCCGCGATGAACTCGTTTGTTTGTTTCGTTGATACTTTAGCATCAATGAATCCGGGCAAGCATCTCATCGTTGTGATAGAAAAAGAGACAGACAGTAGTGTCTTGATGTCTCTTTCTCGAGAAGGCGCCAGACCAGCTCCTGGCTTCCCTTTTGAGAAATTCCGAGCTCCGACCCAAGGCATCGAACACGAGAGCTAGATCATATGAGAAGTTTGTCAAGGGGGGGGGAGAGGGAGTACATACAACATTCATCCCCGTGCGGTGAAGAAATATGGTCGAACATTCATCCCCGTGCGGTGAAGCACGTGGTCGACTGCAATCGAGAGATTATCAGACTTCTGAAGGAACTCAAAGCTGCCTTAGAGGAAGCAAAATCCTCGGGAACGAGCCCGTATCACCCGCTCGAGAAAACGGTTCATCTCGTCGGGGCGATACTGGCTGTCAGCGCTTTCTCCGCCGCTGTGTCATTCGTCGTCACCCGATGGCTAGAAAAAACGTTCCCGAGGAGAGAGGAGAGCCACGAAAGACGAGATTAGTCGGTTCAAGGTGAGTCATCCGAGCCAGTCAGACGTCAGACACCATTAACTGGGAGGAATGCTACATCTAAGTCTAGACCACTCCAGAAACCTATGAAACACTCTGTCCCCTCACTGATGGCAAATACTGATGAGAGACCGCGGATTCGAATTTCGTGTGGTAACCGGGAATTCTGATTCGTCTTCTCATCGCACCGCTTCCGTGCCTTTGATTCGACCGTCTCTGCGCGCAAGAGGCTCTCGGCGTCTCCCCTCGGGTAGCTGATCTTCGGATCATCGAAGTGCGATCGATGAATATTTTCGGTGGGCCAAGCTCGGCATCCAAGTAATCTTTCTCCTAACATCGGCGTTTCTCTGAAGTTCCAGCCGTTCCTTGACTACATCCGCCTACAGTGGCTCGAGAACGTAGGTCCGGCCAGTCTCTCTCTCTACAGAATGAGCTGTCGGACTAACAACGCAGTGGAGTCAAGCAACTCATACCTCAATCGAGAGCTAGGGGCTCACAGTGCGATTTGGAGCTTAATCTGTGAGTTTCGCGCCGAGCTCCGAATGACTCCGGGGAAGATCTCTGTTTTCTATAGTTCAACAAGTCCGCTGACTGATTGTGAGATTATATTCGATTCATCGTCCAGCCACCTTGTGTGGCATAGCTCAAGATGTAGCCGTCGATCAACTGATTGCACTCGATGGGGTCTCGAATATCCGCTTTGATCCCCCGAGAGCGACCAGGATGAACAATCGAACGATTGTAGAGAACTGGGAGCGTCTGGATGCCGGATTGATCACTCCTAAGATGTTCATCGATCGTGTGAAGTACAAGGCTGGCGGAGGTAGATCGATGGAGCGTCAAATACTGCTCCGCAACAGCTCTCGACCTTCTTCATATTCGCTAAACTCCTTGTTCCGGCCATGTTTCAGCTGCGGTACGGCACAATATTTTCGACGAAGACGGACCAACCGATCAGGCCATCATCACCCTGTGGGAGGAGTGGGTCGACCGAGAGGAAGATCTCGTGGAGAATCTTCCGCCCTCCGATGACCACGCCCACAGTCTTCCAGGAATATAAAAGAAGCAGGCTTGGGGGGACAATGATATTTACAAGAGAGTCGAATGTGGAGTAGTAGCTAGAAACAGATGTTGAGCAGGGCGATGATGAATAAATTCACCCGCTGGAAGCCTTTCAAAGTGTATTCAATGCTAACTATCAGACCCCGAGTTGTCCCATCCCGATATATTTCGCGAGAAGCTCCGATGATAGGGGGGAAAGCTCAAGAAAAAAAACCTAAGATCCCACTGAGAGAACTCTCCTCTGGCAATACAGGGGGAAAGCCCTGGGAAAGAGCTCTCGATCTCAGGAAAAACTGTCCATGTAAGTCAGTATTCCTCCGAGTGAGATATGGCCCGCTTTCCGACCGTACACGAACTCTGCGGGGTGAGTAGCACCTTTGAAGTTCGAATTTGCCGCGCTCAGCTCGACCAACGGCGCTCTGCGCTCCGTCGAGTCAGCGGGAGAATCGTTGTTTACTTTCGATCCGATGTCCTAGGGTGACCCTAGTAGGGTCGTTTCTCCTACGAGTCTGTCGTCTGTCACACTGAGCTGCGTCATTTGACCGCGAAGCAAGATGGCGAACAGTCTCTCGCTCCGGCTGCTGCTGGAGCAGTCGGGCGCTGGAGCGTCGCGCCGCGATCGTCCTCTTCAATCATGATAGAAATTATCAAATTGAATTCGAGCCGTTAGTCAACGCTCTTCGGGTATGAGGTTCCGAATCACCACACTAGTGAACTGTGGTAGGCTTCAAGCAGAAGAATAAGGGGGTGCACAACTCGCGCGACAATACTACATATTGTTAAAATGGCCGTCGCGAGAACCGCGAGGCTTGTAGAATTCAGGAAAAATTGAGGGAAGTGAGCGGTATGCGGAACGATTGCTAAGCGCCTCGAATAAAGCGATATCTGGCCTTCGGAACTCAATCCAAGCGCCAAAAGCGACCGATGAACTTTCGATGCGATCAGATAAATGTACAATAATATATCTGATTGTGAGAAGGATATCGAACTATCCAGATAATTCTGTCAATGAATCGACCGGCTCCCTCTGACCACATGGATATACAGGCTGTTGTTCTCGTTCAACCTCATGGATAAGAGAGATGCCCTGGCGTAACTTTCTTGGGTATGATCGGGAATCGGGAATATATGCCTCAGTTTTGGATTGACGGTCCTTTCAGGAAGAGATTTCACCCTTCGGGCTCTATCGAGCATTCCTCGACATCGAAAATCTTCTGTGGAAACACAACCACCGTTGATAGACTGGAATTCTGGAAGACAAGAGCAAGGCAAGTCAAGGATGTGAATCAATACAGGTAAGTACATGTGGAGTTCGCGACATGGCTGTACCAGTGGAGTGCACGGATGCAAACGAGTTTCGCCGAGCATGAGCGTCTTGCATCTTCCTTCTTCAGATATTCCCTTGAACAGACGCGGAATGCGGAATCCCGAATTCCGTCCGAACAGAATCGGGAATATATATCCATCGGTCCAGAATGCGCTACCCGTGTGATTTCCGGAGCTTTCAAATTTTGGCGGTTGATTTTCGAAATTGTGCGCCAGCAGCTTTCTCAGTTGTTGCGGCCGCCGCCGCTGCTTCAGTGAATAGTGCTTGTGGTGGTGGTGGTGTGTCGTGTGAGAGACAACATAGACGGTCGATCTCGGTAGTCGCAGCTCGATTGTGTCTCTGTACCTGACTGTTTGGAGTAGTTCGACCAACCTTTCGTCGATGGCTTCTCGATTCTCTGTTCTTTCGAATGTTTGATTGCTTGAAATGAACAGAGACATGTCGAGTCTTCATTTCATTGCATTTCCCCTTCCCGGGACCGAGGATCAACTCAATGAGCGGTGAGTACCCCTATCGTACGTTTCAGTGCACTGTTTCCATCGTCTCGAACAGTGCCTGTCAGGAGACATTTGCTCGGCACTCATAGGGAGCTCTCTATCCCGAGGATGAATTTCGGTTTTGCATGACGCCTCGCCGCGCAAGCGATTTCGTTTTCCTCTGCCGATCAGCAGCACGCCCTAGGTAGGCAGTGGTCTAGGCCTAGAGTACAGACGCTACTGTCGGTTCCTGACTGCTTCCGGACATCGTTTTTCCGCTCATACGTTCGAAGATCCTTGCTGACACCCGGTGCATGGTCTCAAGGAAACGTTTCGTACGAACCTCGCTGGATGAGCTTCGAGACAGGCTCTTTCCATGGAGTAACCAAGACATCGGGTACTGCTGGAAAGGGCGCCCACCGCCAGGAAATTCGATCGCTACGGCTGCGAATGATCTGGAAGCAGCTAGATTCGGTCGGAATTCGTACCATCCGACGCTTCGACGAGTCCTGAATGTGAATTCCCGATTTCTCGATGATGCCTACGCGATCGCTGAGGCAATGATTACATCGAGCGCTCCGGTCGGGCCTTCGTTTGCTAATCTAATGTGGTTCAATCCTTCCTGACAGCCTCAAAGATGTGGCCGACAAGTTGCGGCGGTCAGCGTATTCACCGCCATCGTTCCTGAACAAGTTCACGTCGGGGTCGATATTGCAGTGCGTTGTGGGACCATCTCATCTTGGTTTTCTCTTAGACGATGGGAGAGTTTGCAGAGTTGTGTATTCGCTGCTTTCGGAGAGCTTGGATCTCTCAAAGACCAACAATGATTCCTCGAAAGGGTGAGCAGATGATATTCGGAATAGTCGCTCGAGCGACCCGTGCGTTGTCTTCGGAATAGAACCTAATGCTCACACCGTATTCCAGACCGAGTGCTATGTCTAGCGGCGCTAATGGCTCCAACGCAGCGTCTACTTCATCGTCGAGAATAAAACGAACCGCTCGAATGTCAACCGGTGGTTACCGTAGCTCCTCTGCACGAATCGTCATGGGCAACCGGCCTGTGGTCCCAGCTACTCATGTTCCAGAAGAATTAGTTATGCAAGCTCAAGTTGTCCTCCAGGGCAAGAGCAGACACGTAATAATTCGTGAGCTGCAGAAGACGGTGAGTAAACCCAGACTCCTTGCCGTTCGACGAGCTCAGAGTCTTCTGACCAACGCTTACTCACGCGAACAATGTGCCCGTCGATCGAATGTATCAGGCGATGATATGTACGTCATCTCCGTGAACAAGTTCCATATCGGAAAGTCGATATCGAGATATGAATTGAATCTACTTTCTGATGGCGATGACTCGATCTTGCAGAATTTGGATGTGAATCTGGCTGTGAATAATCTCCTGTCGAGGGACGACGAAGAAGGCGACGAAGGATCCGCGATGAACGATGACGCTCCCGGCGAAGGCTTCATGAGCGAAGACCTCATGTCTTTACTCGACGGACCTATGCAACCGGACTCCCACAATCATCCCTCAGTTATAATAGATCCAGATGCATTATTTGCTGAAGACATGTTTGGACCGGCAAACGCGTCGGGCTTCAGTCGTAGAAGCTGTCGCGGCAGTTCAAAAAATGCCTCGAGCGAAAACAACTCATTCCTGAGGATGGGTAGAGATAGTCGTCAGCTAGCCGGGAGCGGCTCGCGGAAAGGATGGCTCGATGCCACCCTCAAAGACAGCAGCTCGGATAGTACGGATATGGGCAATATTAAAAAGAATAAGAACCCTGTCTGGATCAGTGAAGACATCGAGTTCTGGCCGGGCCACAGCAAGTTCGTCCATCTAATCTCGCTGTACTCTGAGCTGTGTGCTCTGAGCACGACCGGACAACTCCACCAGTGGAAATGGTGGAGCTGTGACCCGTATCGAGGCGAGATGCAGGGCGTCTACCATCCCAAAACCATTTCGTTGAACCTCCTCCACGAACGCATCTCGTTACTCGACGGAAGATGTGCCCGAGCGAGCGTGGTGACCGAGTCCGGGAAAGTTGCAACGTTTGTCGACGAGAGCCTGAACCCGGTCGCCTTCAGACTCGAACAGCAAGCTACATTATTCAGCGAGCTGCAGGGTGAACGGATCCAGTCGATTCATGTGTGTTCATTGTACTCTTGTGTTCGCCTCTACAACGGGTCGATCTATTGGTGGGGTGTGCTGCCTTTCAGCCAACGTAAGAAAATCTGGGAACGCATGTGTCAACGATCGAAGCAGAGCAAGAGCTCCTCCTCGCAGAATTCGGAGATCGTCGTCGATTCTCAAGTGTGTATGAGATACAGTCCTGTGTACCACCCCGGTGCGCTCGCGTTCACCACGGCCAACGGGCATCCTCGTGTCGGTCAGCTGTTAGCCGCGGCTTGGAACCTTCCCGACGCGTGTCAGTTCAAAATCATTAATCCCAAACCCACGACTCTCGAGCGATCGAGCAGCCAGCCCCCTCCGGACAACTCGAGCAACGATCGAACAGAAATGCCCCCACCACCTTCGCCGGCTTCGTCCACCTGCAGTGAGCCACCGCCGCACAGCCCATTGTCGCACAAGAGGAAAAAAACGCAACGCTCGGACGACGACAAGACCGAGGAAGAGGAGTGGGCCCTCAAGGATGTGATTTTCGTCGAAGACGTCAAGAACGTACCCATCGGCCGAGTTGTCAAAGTCGATGGCATGTACGTCGCCGTCAAGTTCCCGAGCAAGGAAGGGACCGGGGACAAAGAGGACCCGTTGTCCGACTGTCGACTGATGCGCAAGGACGAGATTCAAGTCGTGCGGGGAGGGTCCGCCGCCTCGACCAGAGTTCTGGACTGTCTGCAGCGAACCCCGAAGCGCGTGTCGTTCCCGGATAACGTCGATATTCTCTCGATGTCTGTCGACGCTCGTGGAATACATGCGATCATTCGGAACAAGAAGTCGAATCAGCTGCGGTACTCGATCCACAACGTTTCGACGGGACGCGCCGAACAAGATTCGCTCTTCCCGATACTCACATCGAGCTTCCTCGCTTCGGACTCTTCGCAAGTTTCTCTCAGCGTCAACGGTGAGAACGAGACCATCTCGCTGCTGAGGGACGGCAACTCGTGTCTCTTCCCACTGGCGCATGACTGTGTCGACGCCATCCGGGACCCTGTGTGGCTGAATCTGCCCCCTGTTCGGGCTATCGGGATGGGGGTCCAGCCTCTTCGTGATGTCTTGCAAAATCAGAAAAATCAGGTCGCTGTGATCGCGTTGGTTCTCGAACCCCAGACCATTATGCCGGCAATTCTCAAGGCCAACGCCGAGGCCGTCGGTCAAGTATTATCAAGTGCTAAACGCGACATGGATTCCGAAGGCGACGTTTCCATCCTGAGAAGTATTCTTAGCGAGCGATGTGACGGCAATCGGAACATAATTCACGCGGCGGTATCGGTCTCGTTCCCCACGTCAAACAAGAACGCAGAAGCCGACTCCAATCAGTACGAAGCTCTCGAGATCATGCCGAATTCGGCGGCTGCATCGGCTTCGGGCAGCCAGCCGATCAGCGGTAGGAACATTTCGCTATCGGAGATGATGCGCCGGGCACGTGGGGGAGATCCCGTCGATCTGCAAGGATCGTCTCAGGAGAGCGATTCGGAATACCAGCCGATTCCCCGAATCATGTGGCCTTCCGAAGAGAGCGTCCAAGACGGTGATGCTCACAACGACCAAGGTTTCCAATCGGGAAGCGGGCAAAGCGACTCGGGAAAGAACCAGGGCGGTCTTGCTTCCCTGACGGGGCTCCTTCAGTCTCCCGTGTTGAGACCACACCTCTTTGAACTGCTGTACGCCCGTGACGCCACGGGACAGACCCCTTTCATGACCGCGGTCACGGGCAGAGCTTACCGTGCCGCCACGATCATCTTGGACGCCGCTCAACGGTAAGAGGGAAGATCCTGTGCGCAGAAAGGTCCTGGATTGGACTCATCTGGCATGGGGAAATGAACGAGTCGAGGTCGATTTGCAGCACATTCTCGATACCGCTCTTGAGGTTCGGATCGAAGCAGAGGGCTCCACCTAATCCGTGACAACTCGTTTCAGGTGCTGCGAGAACTCGAAAGTTGCTCTTCGGCAGATGATTTACCCGCCGGACGCCTCTCCAGATGACTCACCGTTGCACGTTCTCTGTACAAATGACACATGTTCGTTCACATGGACCGGCGCCGAGCACATCTCTCAATGCATATACGAGTGTCGTACGTGTGGACTCACGGGGACGCTCTGTTGCTGCACAGAATGCGCGAGAGTGTGTCACAGGGGTCACGACTGCAAAGTTAAACGTGCCTCTCCGACCGCCTACTGTGATTGCTGGGAGAAGTGCAAATGCAAAGCTTTGATCCAAGGCAGCAATTCGGCCAGGAACCAGTTGCTGAACCGACTTATTCAAGAAACCGATCTGGCTACGCTGCCAAACAGCAGGTAAGCCCTCGCTCAATCCATTCTCATTCGATCCGTTCGGGAATGCGTACTCGATCGACGAAGATCACGCGGAAAAGCCTCTCCGAACAACGGTTTCATGTCCCGTCTCGATTTCAGAGGAGAGACGATACTCTTGTTCTTGGTGCTGACCGTCGGTCGTCAATCCGAGGAGCAGAAGAACTTCCGACCTTCGCGGCCCCGTTCACAAGTGAGCAGAAAGGTTTCGAACGCTGACGGTGGACACGAGATGCCGGACCACGATCTCGACCCGCCCAAGTTCGCCCGCAGAGCCCTCGAGAGACTCCTGAGGGACTGGGCCGCGGTCCGCGCCACCTTGATGGCCGGGGAGCGCTCTCTGTCAGATGATTCTCAGCTGACCGCTCAAGCCGGATCGACTCTGCTCGACAAATTCACTCAGAGTCTCATCTGGAAGTGTTCGATGGATATGTTGGACACGCTGTTGTCGACCTTGATCCAGGAGCTCTACCACGACCGGGACAGTCGAGCACCGGAGTCCAACCCGGTCGTTGTTCGATTCGTGCGCTCGGTTGTTCGTTTGTTCACTGTTCTCGTAGCCGAAATGGCTCCCAGTCCGAGCAAACGAAAATCGCGTTCCCTCATGTTCAGCCTTTCCGGGGCCGCGTCGCAGCCTGTTCTGAAGTGCAAGCGAGTATTCCAAGCCCTACTGCCGATATCAATCCGAGAGTTGGCCGACGCTGCCGTCTCTCTGGTCTTACCGATACGATTGGGCATCGTAAGACCCACGGCTCAGTTCTCGTTGCTGGCCTCTAGCAAGGAGCGATCGAAGGTAGCGAGGAACTGTTCCATGTCGATGCCCCTCTATTCTCTTCTGCATCAGGTACGTTCAGTATTTAAGGGTCGTTCGCTAGCGCGTGTGATCGGTGATTTGCGTTTTTTCCCTCAAACGATCAGCCTCGAGCGTGTGCTCCACTAGACGAGTCCTCATCCTCTCCCTTCTGCAGAAGAGAACCCGGGACCTTCCGATGAGCACAGCGAACCCCCGATCGCTGTTCGGCAGCGACAGAGTTTCTTCCGTCCCGCAGCCCCCGCAACGCACCTGCTGCGGGAACCGGCCGCAGATAGCGAGTCGGAAAGCGAAAGCGAGAGAGATGAAGACGCGCTATCAGTATTATCCATTTCGGAAGTTCGGGCTAATCACCAGTTAACGTCAGCCCAAGAAGGAGGTGAGTGCTTCGGATCGATCCCTCGAGCCGGATTGGTTACGAGCGGCATTTCGTATTCTCGAGAAATCGATGAATCGACAAAGAGGATTTTTTGAATTATCTTTTTCCGCCCCGTAGACGAAGATTCCGCGGGAGAAACCTCGGGAGGAGACGGGGAGGACGACAGCGACGCTGCGGATACCGAAGAGCAGGATAACGACGATGGTGACAACACCGACGAGCCACTCGAGAGGTACGCATGAAGACATGACCGGGAGACGTCTCTCCTTCGGACCGGGAAATCTGTCTACAGCTTTTTTACGGCTGTTTCTCTTACGGCTAGGCACGACTAACGCCTATCGAAAACCCCTTGCAGACGACCCAGTGCCACCGCAGGAAGGAACAATAACTCGCCAACTTACTTGGCACCAGCGCATCTACAGTGGGCCGTGAGGAATCGGGCAGATGTCGCGAGCACTTCGGCGACGAACTCGCCATCCACGAACACGATTCTGAGTGAGTTCACGCCGGGTGCGGCGGCTGCCTCGACCTTGACATGGGATCACCGAGTCGCGAGACGCCGAGTCAACCTCGATAACTACTCGACGACTCGATCGCAGCCCCTGACGTGGAATTTTTCTTCCCCCATTCCAGCGGCGTCCGTTCCCATGACCAATGGACTCGTCTACATCGACGCCAACACTCTACGAAGAACTACAAGCAACGCCACAGCACCTGCACCCAGCGTATCGAGTGCGTCGCTGAGTGCTGCGGCTGCCGCCACTGCTCATGGACAACACATACCATCCGTGATCAATACCAACATCGGCTTGGCTCGGACTTTCGCGGCGCTCATCCGTCAGACGACCGACCTGCTGGCCGTACTCGAAGAGTCGGCTAACGCCAGATATCTCGTGCCAGGGATGCTCAAAGTTCCCGCAGAAGTTCTTTCCACCGAAGTGCAGCAGAACCTCTACGACTCCGTGGACGCTCTGTTCAAGCCAACGTGGGACTGGCTGATGACGGTCCTGGATTCGACTGAATGCCAACTCAGATTCGGTTGCTCTCTGAACAAGCGACTCGGTGGCGTTCAGGTACAGAAGCCCTCTTCGTCGAGCGGCTTTTCGTTTCTGCGGAGTGCAGACAATGACGGCAAGAAACGTCCGAAGTCCGAGACAGCGGCCCGCAGAGACTTTTTGTCTTACGCCCTGTCCCTTCTGCGAGCTCAGTCGTCCGAGCACTTGGATTCGCTGCCAGTCATCGATGTAGCATCGTTGAAACACATCGCGTAAGAGATGCTTCCCGTTTGTTCCCTTCTGGCATGTCGTACGAGAATGCCGTATATAGCCCGCCACATCTCTCATAGCTTTGATTCCGGGCGTAAACTTGACAGAAAATGAAATTCCTCCCCAGGTACGTGTTCGACGCAATGGCCTACTATCTACGCTGTGGGAATCACAGCTCGCAAGCCAATAGCAATGAGAGCGCTGACATCGGCGACGTCATGCGAGAGGGTTCCCTGCTGGCACCCTGGATGGACACGGATCAGGACATGGTGGATACGGACGAGGAAAAATCGGCCAACGTCGACAAGAGCGCTGCCGGCGACGCTTCGAAACAACAGCACACAGGGAGGAAGCACGCATTCTTCCAGCGATCGGACTCGACACTCTGTCTCGGGTGCATTCCCCCGCCGGATCCCTTCCTGACTCCGCTCAATGAAGCGCTCCCGGTCGCTGAAAAGCCTCAGTTGTTGACCCCCACCGCGACTCGGCTGGACCTCTTCGGCCCTCCCTCCAAATACTACAACGACAAGAGAGGCTCTGCCTACCAACTGAAGCCCTCTCTGAGAGTATCACAAGAGTGTGACAATTGGCCGATAGTGTCTAGTCGGAACGCAGGCGAGAAGTTCCACGACGCCTTCCTGAGCCGGTGGCATCTGACGCTGGAGCTGTTCGGAAGGGTTTTCGTCGATGACGTGGCTACCGAAGCGGGTTCCGTGCTCTCGGAACTCGGAGGTTTCCCCGTGAAAGAAGTCCGCTTCCGTCGCGAAATGGAGAAACTGAGGAGCTCACAGCAGCGCGATATATCTTTCTCGAAAATGGACAGGGATAGGAATCTGCTGCTCCAACTCACATTCCGAGAACTGAATCAGCAATACACTAACAACAGCCGACGCTCGATGAACGGGACCCCTCCCCTGGCTGTCCATAAAGTTAAAGTTATATTCAAAGACGAACCGGGAGAGGGATCGGGAGTGGCTCGATCGTTCTACGCATCGTTTGCCGAAGCGGTTCTGTCCAACGAGAAGATACCGAACCTTGAAAGTTGCCAAAGCGGAAGCCGCAGTCTTCAGTACAGTAAGTCACCGAGCCTGCTATCGGAAATGTCATCGTACGCGTCCAGGCCACCTGATGGAGATCGCTCTAACGCGAAGAATTTTCTCTCTCAGATATCATTCAACGACTGAAGCGAGACAAAGAAATCCGCAATAGGGCGTCTCGTTCTTCGGGATCCAGCCTACGAGTCGATGCGCCTCCCTACGTTCATCCTTCGAGCAGCGAGGAACCATCAGGCCCGAACCACCGGAAGCAGTTGGGTACACGCCTCTACCCAAGAGTTTACGCCCTCAGACCTCCTCTCGCCGGCAAGATCACTGGCATGCTCCTCGAGCAGACCCCACCGCAGCTGATTCTACTCCTCGCGTCTGAAGATGCCTTGAGGCAGAAAGTCGAGGAGTGCGTGGAACTTTTGTCCTCTCAGAAATGGTAAGACGATGGGCCAGGCCCTGTTTTGTTTGTTCTGCTTCTCGAACCGCCGGAATTCCACCGTAGAGGCCATGAGCTTGTGATGACATTTCACTTTCGTCCTCTAGTTCCGTGAAGATGGAGTCTCTCGATCTCAACGAAGCAGGAGCCTCCAGCTCTCTCTCTGAACCGACAGAAAACGCCTCGCCCGAAGACAACGCTCCATTCTTCTATCAACCGGGGAAGACTGGTTTCTATTCACCGCGTCAAGGACGCTGTTCTTCGGAGCGTCTGAACGCCTTCCGCAACATAGGTCGTATCATTGGTTTGTGCCTTATGCAGAACGAGCTCTGCCCAATACCTCTGAGCCGGCACGTGTTGAAGTATATTCTCGGCCGGAGAATCGGTTGGCATGATCTGGCGTTTTACGATCCGGTTCTCTATGAGAGTTTGCGCCAAATACTCTTGGATGCAAACGAAAAGAACAAGGAAATCATCGCTGCCCTAGAGCTCACGTTCACCATCGACCTCGGACCAGAGGAGGGTAACACTACCGCCGAACTGATCCCAGACGGACGCAGCGTGCCGGTGACGCACCAGAATGTCTTCGACTACGTTCGACGGTACGCGGAATACCGAATGGTCAAATCACAGGAGAGAGCTCTCGAAGCTCTGCGTACCGGTGTTTTCGACGTCCTTCTGAACAACAGTCTCGAAGAACTTACGGCGGAAGACCTCCGACTGCTCTTGAACGGGGTCCCCGAGATCCACGTGGCATCGATGATTTCGTACACGACTTTCAACGACGAGAGCAAGGAGAGCTCTGAGCGGACAATTCGTTTCAAAAAATGGTTCTGGTCAATCATGGAGAAGATGTCGTCCAGAGATAAACAGGATCTGATCTACTTCTGGACTGGATCGCCGTCGCTACCCGCGTCGGAAGAAGGCTTCCAACCCATGCCCACTGTGACCATTCGTCCCCCGGACGATCAGCATCTGCCCAGTGCTAATACGTGCATATCTAGGCTCTATCTCCCCTTATATTCTTCTAAGCAGATCCTCAGATCGAAGATACTTTTAGCGATTAAAACGAAAAACTTTGGTTTTGTTTGAGACGGCAGGGCAGCGTTCCGAGTGAGTGACGGTAGCGCGAGCGCTTGCGTTGTTTTGTTCGACAAGGAATGTCTCGTGGTGCTCGGCACGCACATTCGCTGACGAACCGCTGCGCTAACATGAAAAATGAATGGTAAAGTGATGCAAATGAAACAAAGAGTCCCCTATGTAACTGATCCAATGCAACTTGTGGGCATCATTCACGTGCCGCAAACCAACGACATGCTCAAGTGTAAATACGAATAAAACTTTTCCCTACAAGCCTCGTGCACACGTTATCTTGAGATCAAGTCAGCTTCAGTGCCAGAGACCGCTGATGACAATGGAGCGAAATCTTCATCCTTTCGGTCCCGTCTTGGGTCGTGGTCCACGACCCCGGAGAGGAATGAGGTCGTCTCGACGAGTAATATAAATACAATCTTTATTAGGAAAAACCCGACCATACCGTTACATCATCATATCACACTTCCGCTCCCGCTAAGACTTCCAGGCGAAATACAACGAAAGAGTACCTACATACAATCTAAATTGAGACGATTGAGACCACGATGAAAACGGGATAGCTCATAGATCAGTTATTATTTTTTAGGCAGGGAATTCGGCGCGGTCGCACCAGAAGCCGTTCCACGACATTTCCACGCAATATTCTGCAGAAAGTCTATGGGGCCATGGGATGCGATCAATTTTTGGGGGAGGAATACCGAGAATAAATCTCAGCCTCGATGATAATACTATCATCCATACGTTCCCGAATCAGAGCGATAGAGAAGCAAATCCGGCTCACTCAGTCAAAGAGAACCCTCGCTCCCATCCGCTATTTAATCATCAGATTTGTTCGATACCTTGCATCAGACGCTGGCGAGATTGGTGAAGTGCTGTTCGCAAAAAGTGTTGTGCATCCCGTTTTCGCGGTAGAACTCCAGATTCGATATCACGACCGAGGGTGAGGCCTTGACGAACTTCGCCACTTCTGAAATTTTTTTCGGCCCATCAAGATTACACGAAGTCGATGGCGACACGACAGCTTTTATGTTCATATAGCGTCATCGATGTGGACCTAAGGGTCTATTGCCTTGCAGGATGTGGCCCGTGTCGCTGACAGTGGCGGCGCTTTTCTGCCACGATAGGAACATGATGAGGTAGGTGCCGACGTAAAAGTCGTTGAGAACCGGAGCCACGCAGCGTCGACGGTTGCAGAGTCTGTATTAGGAAGTCTAGGAAATGATCTCGAATCGAGCGTGCGAGCCGAGTATCCTCCGGGAGGGAGCGAGGCGAGACTTACTTGTTCAGGCAATCCTCACGGAGGGCTTCGAGTGCGATCTTCGTCATGTTTATTCCCATGACCGCGAACGGGAAATTCTGGGAAATTAGACATGCCCCATGTTAACGGGCAGACTTTCCTTCTGAGCTCATTGGGATAATTTAGAGATTCCCCAAGGACGTCGAGACTATATAATAGAATACTTGAACGTGATCGACGGAAATGTTGTAGATATCTTTGGTCACAGCCTCGTTGTCCGGATGCGTGGAAAGGTAGAGAAGTTGTAAGAGGCCAAGGATGCCGCAGCCACGGAGGTCGGTGGCGGGGTCGTTGCCTGCGGGAAAGGACCATCGTTCTCGAGTGCACAGTCTGCGTTTTCGTCTCCTCAATGGCTGTGAAACTAGACTTCATCCATGAGCGTGGCACAGACCTTGAAATCCAATGGTCTCCCAGTGAGCCCCGAATCTCGGACTGTCGTAGGTGCTATTACTGAGTTTCCGATAGATTGTTTGTAACATTTGATTGTGGCATTTGGAGTCTGAGTCGAAAGGAACCTGTGGAATTTTAGGATGGGATTGTATAATGCGGAGCATCGCCAACTCCGGAAAAATGCTCTCTGATCATACGCAGCGACTGAGCTACGAACCTGAGCGAGAGCGAACATCAGACACCTCTCCTCGATCAGCTCAACAACCATAGCTTCGGCTCCGAAGAGTTTGTACAACCATTTCTTCAAACCTTTCCTCTGTACAACAGGTTTGATCGTTTGCTGGAACATAGAGCTTCGACTCAAAATCTGAGACTCATTGAGACCCAATCGTCTGCAGGTGATCGACTAAACTGAATGAGGGATAAGCTCAGATGAGTCCCACATAGTGTTCTGCAAGATTAGGGAAGCGAATCGCGCCTACTTCGACGTCCAATTCGACCTGTCCCTCCGACAGGATCTTTGAAGATCAATAGGACAAAACCGACTTTGGTGAAGCTTTCGCGCCTCGGGAAGCTTTTTCTAGGTTCTGGAACTCACCCTGTGGTCCTCCATGTTTACGGAGTCCACTATCGACTCGGCGGCTTCTTCAAACGTTATGATACGCGAGCATTGTGGCACATTCACGTAAGGGATCGCTGCTTGCGGATCGATTTCCTTGAAGCCCACCGCGTCCCATTCTTCGAGAGCGGCAACGAACTTCCCGTCGATCTCATCGTCAACTGAGGCTGGAAGAGGATAAACCGTTTTCGAAGCCGGATGCTTCTCATCGCAGTACAATGGGAAAGCTTTTCAAATTCATTGATCTCCAGAGGGGGTAATCTAGTTATGCTTTCGGCTTGTCGGCTGTCTCACCAGGTGTTCGAAGGGATGCCAAGTCCTGCTCGGCCTGGAAGGATCATGTACATTATATAGGTGAGCTTGACAAGCAGACAACACTGGGAGGATCCGAACAGTCGGGCCCGCATCGACAGCTGAGCGCTCGGATTCTGGATTCGAGTCTCTGGGTTTCGTCCACTTGTTGCCTTAGCTCAGTTTGCACGCTCGGACTTACAGCAAGTTCTTCCTCGGTCTCCTCAGTCAACGTCTCCATGCTGATGACAGCCACCATCGCAGCTACGTTGCCTTCCGTGACGTTGAAGTCCGACAGGGGTGAGAGCGATCTCTTCTCCTCTGTTTCGATCGGACAAAAGGACACGATGGGCGAACTTCACGACTACTGGTGGTACACCAGGGGGCAGCACTCTCGGTCGTCCTGGCTACGATTATCGTGATCTCGGTCCGATTCCCTATACGGCGGCGTGTTATAACGCGGAATCGAAGAAACTCTGATTACTCGACTAGGCACGCCTTCCGGAATTCGGTTCCGAGGTTCGCTGGAATCGTCGGGACTCACGGAGTGGTTTGTGACCAAGGTGCCACGATCGAAAAGAACGTCCTATGATGTGGCGAATTCACGGAATCGTTTTCTCGTTGAATCCTAGCAGTCCCTCCGGGGTCCGCTCGATCCGGCAGGATGCAGCGGGAACACGGCAGCCGGAGACGGTCCCGTTGACTTCCCG